CCGTTACCCCTTTGCTTATCTGATAATGAAAAAAATATGCCAGTTTAAACGGTCATTACAACAGATGACAAAGAAAATGTAAATGTAAGAATGTCTTTTAGTAAATAGAATTATCTTCATGATTATTTTCATTCTTAGACACGAAGTTATAACGAAGATGAAAACAGTGAAAATTGTCGTTCAATAAAACGCACAAAAATCGATGATGATAATGATAAAGAAAATAATTTATTTATCAAACGTTCTCGGCGTGGTGTTGGGGTACGTATTAATGATTTCTTACCAATAATAAAAAATTACGATAAATGAATATTTCTTTTTTGTTTTGTTTTAGTTAATTCGCAGTTTCACTGAACCTGATGAAGAACAAATAAAAGCATCCGTTGAACTTGGTTCGAATCGAGATTTAATTGGTGATCGTTCACGTTCGCATCTTTTACCAAGATGTACAAGTCGTAAGCATCCAAATCTTGCTTTTATTAGTCCAGAAATGGTGAGAAAATAAATTGAACATCTTGATCTATAATTATGGTTTATTTTCTATATGATCTAGTTAATTGATGTATTACAAAATGTGTATGCATCAGAAATTGAAATTCTTCAGGTTATTGATTGTTGTTATCCATATGAATATGAAGGTGGTCATGTTCAATGGGCTAAAAATCTTTATACACGTTCACAAATTCACAATGAATATTTTCTTAAACCATCGGAGTTAAACGATTCGTCGAGAAGAATTATTTTTATTTTTCATTGCAAATTTTCATCCGAAAGAGCACTATCATTGTAAGTTAAATATTCGAATTTGAATAGATTACTAAGACGATTGTTATTAATAGATTAAGATTTTTTCGATCCGAGGATCGTAATATACATGAACAAAGTTATCCACAATTGCATTATCCAGAAATTTATCTACTTGAAGGTGGTTATAAAGCATTTTATGGATATTCGACTAAGAATTGATCTTTTGTTTTTGAAAAAAAACCGAATTCATTTGATTTTATCATATTAGCAATTCTGTGTACCAAATCAATATCGAACAATGACTGATATTAATTATCAAGAAGAATATCGCCAATATCGATTTGAGACAAAACAATGCGATAAATTTACAGGTGCAAATGAAAGAACGGGTGGTGGACGTCGAACACGGACATTAACATTTCGTACTTGTCTATCATTTTCTTCACAACCAAATCCACCGCGTTTATCGAATATTCGATATGATCTACAATTTATTGAATCTCCACCGCAATGTTAAATATTATTTTTTTGTTTAAACAAAAATTACCTACTCATCATATTGATGGATGAATATGAAATTTCCAACTTTTTTGAACTTATATATACATAGGTATATCTATATGTGAAATACTCATTGTTGAGTAGGATTTTCTTGTTCTCTTGCGTACGTTTGTGACTCTTTTGCGTCATTGATATGCTCTCTTTTTCTCTTTTGGACGGTAGTGAAGATGATGAGATTGCTTTTATAAAATTGTTTGTTTTTTATATTAGACTAGGAAATAATTTATTTTGTTTTTGTCTTGAGTGTGAACGAAAAAGAAACGAAATATATGATTGTTTGCTTTTTAATTGTTTTGGTCTCTTTATTATCTGCGCAATTTAACAAAGAAAATAAGAAAAACATATTTACTGATATAACTTATGTCGTTTGTACATGAAACATTTGTTAAACGGACATTAATTATATATTACTGCAGTTGATATATTACTGCGATTGAAAAATAAACACTCAACAAATGTTAGCATAGGTCAATAGTTGTTGACATATAAAAGGACCGCAGAGTTCTATTTTTTTCCTGAAAAATAAAGCAGATACTGAGTTTTTCAATGTCGATGTATTTCACTAGTTTTTTTCATCATTATTAATTTCGTATTGAGTTCGAATAGTAATGATCTTTATCCAAGTTATAATTTAACAGTTAATCCAATCAAAGCCTTGGAATGGTCAGAAAATAGTGTACTTGCTTATGTAACAACTGTTCGACTATTTGATTATGATCATCATATATTTCAATATCGCCGTTATCCATGTCAATATTTTTATACTGATGAAATTCAATTATTTAATAGTAATGAGTCGTTTAGTCAATGTTCTTATAATACAACAACAAATAATTATGAATATAGTTTTCAACTTCATCTTGATTCTCGTCATGTCGAACCATATATTTTTAAAAATATTGCTATTCAATGTACTTATATTAAGCGCAGTCTCTCATTGTTAAATATAACAAATATATATGTTGGCTGGAATTTAAAAGGTCGAGAAAATAATTCTGATTGTTCATTTGATATTAATACACCACACAATATTCTTCAAACACCATACACTATATCAGAATTGATTACGCTTCAATGTAAATCATTGTTAGCTTGTAATCATTCAAAATTAAATTTAGAGCAATTTCTTTCAACATATGTGCAAATAGTATATGGTTCATCACTTGATCTTCAAATACCATATTGTTCATTAGAAAAAAGTCTTAGTCATGTTATTGATACAAATTTTGCACAAACGAATGGCTTTTTACAACAGCTCATTGCACTTATGAAACAAAATTCTGTCGCAAAACGTGAAGATGAACAAGTAAAAATCAAAGACTCTTAATGTTCTTATTTGAATTATAAAGAATACTACAAGTAACTAAACCCAATTAAAATGAATTAAATCAAGCGAAAGAAAGTACTTAAATAAAATCCTATTTATATACTTATAGTTTCTCTCCGTGTTTTTAACAAGTAAAGAAAGTTATTTGTCATAGATTCGAAGTGACATCTAAGCAATTTGAGAAACGTACATTTACTATACAAGTAGTTCAAATTCAATATTCTGCGCATCGACTTGGTGAATGTTGTAATGTTCTGGAGAACAAAAAGATAACTGCAACAAGTGATAACAAGTAAAGGTATAGTAAATATTCGATGTATATGTTACAGTTATGTGTATATAATTGTCAATGATAAAATTTTTTAAATAAATGAACAAAAAAAAGAAAAGAATCTCATTAACATATTTGATAAAAAGTGAATTAGTTTATAATTGATTTTGATAAGATAATACAATTGCGTCATCTATAGAAGCGCAAAATTCTAATTCGTAAAATAATAATGAACTTTGAAGCAGATATGCTATTCGGCCTTGTCTACACTAGAAAGATAATGCGGCATTAATTCGAATTAAATCTACGTGCGTCTACACTTATAAGTTTAATGCATCAATCAGAATTGAGAAGTAACCGCTATAATGTAGTCTGAATGTATAAACTTAGCACATGTTCAGTAAAGAAAAAGTCGCTTCTGTCTCTTTTTGATGATTTACGACAAATGACGAAATTTGCCACCAAAATATCTACTTTTCTAACTTATTTCTTTCAACTATAGTTTCGTTCAATATTCTAGGGTTCTTGAATTTTTATACTACACCTCCTGTTCTTTATAAAATATCTATTTATCGATAATATACAGCGACCTCATTGAGGCCTGTTCGAGATTCTAATTAGTCCATCAAGTTCTTTATCGATTGGTACATTAACTTTTCTAGTGTAGACAAGGCCTTCCCCTATACGTTCGGTTATTAGAAACAATAAGTATTTGTTCTCGTCAGTGAGAATGTTTTTTTTTTATTGCATTTCAGATATTATATTTTTTACAATGAATCAAAAACAATTAATGTTGGAATGGAAACAAGTGAGTTTAAAATTATTTCATTAAATTTATTTTGCGGTAAGTTTTAGATGTGTGAACAATTGGGGAAAGATCCCTTGAATAAGGAGCTGATCCAAAAGATGAAAAAAACACAGGTATGTAGAAACTCTGGTATATCATGGTCAATTGATGGAACATTTTCCTTTTAGATGAAATTACAAACTGCAACACGATCTTCTGAGGTAAATAAAAAAATGTGACCATTTTTTGTTGAACATTTTTCTTTAGAATGAATCATCTAATGATCGTACAGAAAAAAGGAAAAATGAAAATTTTCATAAAGGTTTAAATGAAGATTTAAGTGAAGATTCAGATGAAAGTCCAAATGAAGTTTTTACTGAACGTTCAAGTCAGGAATCAAATGATGGTCTTAATGATAGTCTACATGAACATAATGAAGAACAAATAACAAATTCTGAACAACGTCCATCAGTACTTGTTATGAATCCTTTTGGGAAACTGCGTAAGTTGCAAAAACATTTTTATGTGTGAAAAGAGGATTAGGAATATTTGAATAAATAATCTTCTCAAAATTTGGCGATTAAAATAGTTTTTATCGTGAGGAGGCTGTATCTCAAGCGGAAAACATCGCACTTTTGTACTTTTAAGTACATAAAATACATAAAGTACGTTACACTACTATGCGCACTTTAAAAGAGAAAAGTACGATTCTTCTTCCTTGCCATATATATTATAGCAGTCCTTCTCTTTTCCCTTTTTACAGAAAGAAAATAAAAGTCTCTTAGTTTGGATGACGTATATTTCTATAAAACAATAGAGACATTTTTTTCCGTCTGAAAATGATTTTGTTATGAACATCCAAAATAGTAAATAATATCTTTTCTATCTGTTAGGATCATATCTCAAGCTATCTTTCAAATGGATTGGTTATCATCACAATAATCATGACAAATTAGACTAATTTGGGCATCTCGATTAAATAATTTTCTTTTCTTTATTGCTTGCCGCTTCTTTTATTTGATTTCTGTTTGTCTTTGTACTAAATATTTTTTTTCTTCAAAACAATCAAAAGTCTATCACACGCTTTTTAATGAATGCCCAAGTGAAAAATCATTCTAGTATCTCTAGAAGCCTTCTCATAATAAAACATTGCCTGTTTTTCTTCTTTTTAGTAAGCAAAAAAATATGCATTACGGTCGACACTATTGCAGTTACCGTCATGTCTGGTATGATTTTGGCTTATCTAAACAAACAAGCTTCGGGTTTAATGACATTAATCGTATCTTTTTTATGTATTGTTGTTATTATTGCATTTTCCATTTGTCTATATATAATTGGCAAAGCATATTAAACAGGTCATGGTTCAAAAGTTGTTCCATATTGATAATAAATAAAAGTTAATTTGTTTAAATGTTTTTTTTCTTCATAATTGATTCACATTGATTAAATATCAGAAGTAAATTCTGTGAGAAACAGTTTCTTTGCTTAATCTATGTAGTTGAAAAGTTCTATTGAAGAATGTATTTCATAGTTAGCAAAATTTTGGCAAGCGGATTTATCAACATCATTAAATAAAAACCAATTGATGACTGATTCGACGGGAAAAGAAGGTTTGGTGAATTCGAAAATATTGCTAATCCCGAAAACTTGTATTAGGGGTGTCAATTTACAGTTTAATTAATTAAAATTTAACTTCTTGAAAAGTTAATTTAATTTAATAATTTTTTTAAAATTTAAAATTAAAATTTAATAAATTCTTTGGATGGATGCACATCATTGCTACTAGGAAAATACGTGACTTTAACAGTAGTAAATACTAAATGAGAGGAAGATCTAGTATTTTAGGTTAATATTTATTCATAATAGTCAAAATTTCTCTACAGATTATGCAGGATCGGTCATCTTTCTTCTTCAAAATACTGGGATACTCATAAAAATATATTTAATAGCAAAATTCGTAGAAGAATGACTAGCTTTAACTTCAGAAAACAGGAAACATACTCAAATTTGACTTTTAATAGTAGCAACCAAGTCAAAAACTATGCCCATGTCGCACAAACCGATCGAAAACCGTCGGTTAACCGCGGTCAATTTTTATAAAAATTGGTTAACCGCGGTTATTTAAGTCATTTTAGCGACTTTACAGCGTAAAAACCAACGGTTAACCGCGGTTAACCGACGGTTTTCGATCGGTTTGTGCGACATGGGTGTTTATCTACTAGTTTTCAAAATTCAACTAATTTGAATTTCAAACAATTTTATTTAAATTTATTTAAATATAAATAATGCAAAATTTTAAATTTTTTAAAATTAAAATATGACACCTCTAACTTGTATCAAATAAACCTCGAAACAAAAACAAACCTCATATAAATATTCTTTCCTTTGTTTAGGTTAATAATTACAAAGCCCTAATTAAGTCCATAATTAAACAAACTCTATGGTCATAGTGATGGTTGGTCACATGTTGAGATATGAATATTAATGCATTTGGATTATGTGATATACATGCACTTATCAGATCACGATTGGGGAGTTACATAAAAACATTAACTTATACTAAGTGTTTAGGCACTATATGTTTTATCTGAAGATGGTTATTTAGGTTACTCATGTTCAACAAATGTTGTTACACGTTAATATACATTTGATCAATTAAATGCTTAATGACATTCAGGAGATTTTAATCTTCTTGTTAATTTAAAAATTTTGAAAAAGTTGTACATGATGGAACATAAAAAGTTAAACCAATTGTTATATTTACTCTTCATGATGATTCAGATGAAAATCCACGTTTTTCTAAAAACTTGTTGATGTGATGAGAATATTTAAAAAAATAAAATTTCGATACGAGAAGAAGAATTATCAATATAGAAAAAACACGAATTATTGTTCTTTCATATTTATAACTGCACCATCACCTGAAAATCGAACAACAACATATAAATATATATGTGTCAGGAAAAATTGGGATTTAGGTAAAATTAAACGATAGCTTTTTAAATGTAAGTTCAGTGAAGAATTAAATTCAATATTCGAATATTATTAAAAAAATATTAAGCTGCTGTATATAACAATTCAATAAAAGTTTTTCATCAGCCCAACATGTGAAATCAATATATCTGTCTGATGGTTCGATCGTAGCTGTTCAGTGTGATGTAATCTGTACAATGAAGTATATTTAACATAGAAATAGAAAAGAATATGAAAATCTGTTTGTTACCATGATAATGGTTTATCTTGACATTTCTTATTCTAATTGTCTTGTTGGTTATTTGTTCGGGTATTTCTTCTGTCTAGGTATTAAAGTGATAGAAACGGTGTTGATAAAAATATTGTTTTTTTACTGTTTACTTTTTCATTCCAGATTGTTACATTAATTGAACCAGTATCGCCCTTTATTTTTATTGATCGTCGAGTATGTGATTGACCAGTTGACTGTGAAATATTTGCTGTTGTTTCATTATCGTACACGATAGTGCCTTGAACATCTAGTGTGAAAGAATTGTAGGTATTGCAGCGTTTTTTAGGCAAATGAGCAGGAAAGAAAGAATACGTGGAAAATATAGAAGGGAATAATTAATGATTCTTTTTTATGTATTTTTTTTTGTTAGAATTAGCTTACGTTGAAACTATTTATACAAGAATATTAGTAAGTTACATGTCTATATGAACTATGTAAAAATCGTTTTCTTCCTTTCGTTTTTAAGGAGTTATGTAGTATCATCTATATTACGAATGTATTTTATTGCTGTTAAATTGAGAAAATGCAAAAGTATTTATATGCCGACATGTGAACCATGAAATAAGTTGTAAATATTAATAATTTGGTGTTGTTTAATTTGTATAACCGGATTGAATGAAGCAGATTTATATGAATTTATAATACTAGAAGGAATTAGTCGAATTTCATAGATGGACTGCGATGAATTAAAGTTTTGATTAGCCATTCTCACGTCACCACTTTGAATGGTTATATTCTAAGCGAAAAAAAGTTTTGATTTCGAAGTGTTATTAGTGTTTTTACTTTCTTCAAAGTCATGATGTTATCAGAACGACCGGATTCTTCGTTGAAAGCCACGATTATAATATGGCACGCATTTACTGTAATATCTAAAAATATAGCAGTCCATATCTAAAATATAGCAATCCATATCTAAATTATATCAATATTGCCTAACTTAATACAGTAGTATCTATTCTGGTGAAAGGATACCTTTAAAAAAACTGTTTAATCTAATTTTGTAATTCAACATCTTTTAAATCAATTAAATATCTGAATTAAAAAAGATTCTGTCTTTTAATTCAATATACTACCACTTTTAACGAATGACTATCAATGAATTTATCGACTTATCTAATTCATTTGAACGTAATCTATAATTGTTAAGTACTTATCAATTAATTGAAAGAGTATATATGAGCTGGGAATGACAATAAGTGATAGAAAAAAGTTAGTTTAAAAAATGTCTTGGGTGGGGTGTGGGTGTGAAGAGAGATAAGAACACCAATACCCGTACCCGCACCCACACCCACATCCTCACACATCCACACTCCGCACCCTCAAGATTTTTTTCTATTAAATTAATTATTAATTTGATATAACTTTGTGTTGTTAGGTAGTGTTACTTAATAAATTAGATATAAATTCATCGTATATTAGATATAAATTTATTTTAAAATTAGATATGGATTGCTATATTTTTAGGTATGAGTTTATATTTATCCCTTATAATATCTCCACTAAGATCACATACTATAGCATCAAATACTTTTGCCGTTTGTTGAGTATTGTCGAAGTGGACTTTTGTAAATTACTTTACAACGAATATTAAAGCTAAGGTAAAGAATAATAACGCCCTAGTGAAAGTAAAAGTTTTACGTTATACTATTTGGATTAAGACTATTAATGTCAACGTATGTTTCGTTTGTTACGGGAAAGAAATGATATATTAACGCTGAAAAAGTATGATCGGTTGTTTAGCTTATTCATTATATACAAATTACTTTGAATACATTTTGTAGACTCGTTAGCAGTTTGATTAGATATTGTTGTAGAATTTGTTGTTATTGGTTCCTTATAAAATGTTAAAGATGAAGTAATTTTTTCGGAAGAATATTTATATTATTAAAAAAGAATGATAGTTATAAGTTTACCATGATGGTGTTCGTTTTTCGTTTAATTCATTGTTGTTGTTTGCTGTTGAAATAGATGATTGTTCATTATTTTCTTGTAAATGAACAGATATATTAATATAACTTGTTTGTGTTTCTTGTACGTTGGTATGATTAAACTGTTTTATATATGCTAAAATGTCGTCTGTCGTGATGAGTTTATATGCTCCAGATATATTATCTAAATGACTGTCTTAGTACATAGAAAGTATGTAGTATTGCATTAATTCTTATGATACATCTAGTGTTTTTTTATGATGAAATATAGAGATTGAGTTATCTTTTCTAATCATATTAGATCAAAACGAGATAAAACATAACTAGTCACTTGGAAATAACTGATCTGTTGTTACGATATTTGTTGTTGCAATCATTGTTTGAGAATTTGATGATGATGCTAGTGGTAGTAAATTAGAAATATTAATTATGGTAATATTATTTAAATTATTTTATCGTAACTAGTTTGATTGTTATTGATGTTGTGCATGTTTGAAGAATTGTTTTCTTACGTGAACTGAGTCAAATTTATTCTGATTGTGATTTGTAGTTGGAACTTCCTATGATTAAGCGCGTATGTAAGTAATCAAGTCGTTTATGGATGAGAGATCATAGTAATTAGGCGACATGCGTATGCATAGTATTACTATATATTGAGTTCTTTCAGTATTATTTAGTATATTCGTACTATTTTTTGGTTTGAGAGACTTGTAGAGCCCTATTTAATAGATCTTTTTGGTAAAATTTTTTGAAAATAGTCTTTTTTTTTTCATGTAGCTATAGATTGAATAGTATCAGAAGATTAGAAAGACTAATATATTGGTTACTGTGCTATCTATTATATAATGGATGGTTAATGTTTGCGAGTGTCAGGTTGAACATTCAATATGTTTTATTAATGAAACATAAATAAAGATAAACCTTTGAAACGTTTACAATATAAAAAGAGAAGAAAAGTTTTTCTCGATTATACTTGAAGATTGAATATTATACAATTTATTAATTTGAACGAAGTTTTTATTATGGATAGAACATAGAGGTTTATATGTATAAATCAAATCTCTGATGGAATGTATATAGTATAATTAAATTTGAAGAAAATAAATAAAAATAATGAAATGCTAGAGCCATTCATCATAAGTCTACATACAATGGTCTCGTTAAAACGTAACTATGCTAAAAATATTATCAGGCTAGGACTGTTATTTCCTTACATTGGAGCTATATTTGTGTTCGATACACAACAGTATGAAGGCCATCATGGCGAATCTCGCTACTATTTACAAAGCTTCACTTCGAGCCGATTTAATAGTGTGTCTAAACTTTTTCCAAAATGACATGGGTATATGGTGATATTTCAGATGAATCTCAGTGAATGTCACCGTCTTTGACTGTAGCTCGTATGAAACATTTGGTGTCATTCCAGTAATGACAAATAAAGTACCAGGCATAACGAGCACCTCTTTTTCCTTGGGATAATCAGAAACGTCTGAGACACCAAATATATTGGTAGATTTATCGTTGACTGTAATGACGAATAACACATTCATTTTGCCATCTTTTGGTGGACCCTCATCGATGAAACTAAGAGCAATTTTGATGTCCTCACTTGTTGAAGTGAAGGTTTTGAACGCTAGCACACCACGTGTTTTATTATTCAGAGCTTGTTCGTAAACATGAATGTCATCGTGACCTATTGTTGCACCCCGATACGTAGATCCAATGAAGATACGCTTTTCGAGTTGTTCGGAACGAATGTAAAATTCCATTATGAAGCGGTCACATAGATGTGGAGCACTCTCGTGTTCATGAGTTGAATTGGAAAGTTGTTGATTTAATGTGCGATAACAAGCATCTTCACTTGTGTACATCTTAATGAGAGGCTCGATATTGCTTTTAGTTTTTGCTTCATTAATGGCGTCCAATGTGTTGTCAGCCTCTTTCGATTTACAACGTTTTTTTAAAAAATCTTTAAAATCTTGGTTTTTATCTAGATCAAACGTGTCAGCACGCAGAAAATCATGTTGAAAGAAGCTAGGAAACGTGCGGGACAACCAGCTATAAAATCTAAGCCACATTGCAGTCGTTTGTTGATCGAGTGCATACTTGTAAGTTTCTTTTTCATTTTGAAACGGTCGAACAAAACCACTGTCAGTGTCAGCAGTTTTTAAATCATTCTCTGTAACATTAGTATCATTTGCATTTGAATCGGTAGCGGCTGATTGCAAGTCAGTAGTTGAGGATTTCTCTTCGTGTACGTAACAATTCACTTTTCCTGTCATGTCAGAGTCATAAAAGCGACTCGAAGTATCATTACGTTCAAAGGAATTTCTTAAGAGAGGTGTATCTGCATATTCATACGCATATTTAGCATCACGGTCAAGTATGTTTCGAGGGCATCTTTTCTCGAGTAATAGTTTTACTACCTCTTGATGCTTATTTTTGACGGCAGCGTGTAGGGCTGTATCACCATTGGGCTCAAGTTGCATCAAATCATTAATATTTTTACGATCCGGTTGCTCAAGAATTTCGCGTACCCCAGCAATGTCTCCATTAGCGCACCGCTTATACAACTCGGATGATTCACCGTCATCATATCGCCTTGTTCTGGCTTTTCTGCGGTTCTCTTCATTCAGTAACTCATGTGGACTTCTTGGTTTTCCAGAGAAAGCTGCTCCAGCACCCATTAAAAGATTATATATCTGAAAATAAGCATACTCGAATGTAATTGCACATGCAATATTAAAATCTTCATTTATTCATATGACTATTGATTGATAGCATCGAATTATAGCGTTCCTGTTTTAAGAATTCCATGGCTTACGTGAACAATGTTCTAAACAATGGATGGCCTACATGAATTACCTCATAACTTATCACAAACATAATAGCAGGCCAAATACGATCACGAATTATAGAAAGCTCTATCGAGATTTGAATAGGAAGAGTGTTAAACCCTTAAGTATTCTACAATTAATTTCTGCCATGGACTCCTACTATAGATATAAAAACACTGAACTAGTCAATATGTTTAAGTAGAACATAATTATGTGATGAGTTACTACTGACTATACTTTCTTGGAAAATGTAAAACTGATGTTTTTCTTTTGTTTTCGCATTGACTGTTACAATTCTATAGAGATCTCTTAATATTGGCAATATTTTGTTTTTCATATGAGCCCTACTGATGCGATTGTTATAGATGCCATACAAGTCAAAAACATGGAAATATCGTTCTAATTCGCTCGATCCTACTATGTCTTCGATATAATCAACTACCAGGTACGAAATCTTATGAATCTTTAAATTGCATGCTAGGATTGAATACAACGGCGGGCATAGGTGTAAGTGTAAATTCGAGTGTTCAGTTCATTCAGACCTATGTGGGGTGTGGGTGTGGGTGTGGATGTTAGTGTAAGTGCGCTGAATTCCGGAACCGTTGGGAATTAGGCGGAATCCGTTTGAGTTTCGTGTAATTCCGGAATTGAATCGGAAGGGATAAAGGGAATTCCGGGAATTAGATGGAATTGGTCGGCAGCGATTCCGGGAATTTTGGAATTGTGTTGAAAGTGATAAACGGAATTTCGGGAATTAGATGGAATTGGTTCCGTGAACGGAACTGGTTCCGGAATGTTCAACATTGCGGAATAGGATGTATTCTCGTTTGTCTCTATTAGACTTACCGACGTTTTACTTTTTAGTTATTTAAAATAAAGAAAGCGGTAGTTCACCCAACCTTCGGATATATTTTACGGAAGCCAAGTGAGGCTCGATGATGTGCGTCGATAGGCAAATTGCTTAAACTAAGATAAACTTATTTATCAATAAATATAATCGGTAGACTTAATTATAATACAGTAACAAACTAGTTTGTTCGCTCGCTCGTAAAACTCTTCAATATGCCATGCTTACCTATAATTCATCGGATGATCAAAAATCTAATGGAAGAAATCTTTGCATGATAGTGAATGCGCTCCGGTTTCCAACTTGCTTTTGATGCATTTGTTTTGAAAGAATTAACAAAAAAGAATTAAATAAACACAGTCGGTGGACAAAAGTATACTTTTTGCATGTCTGCATACTTTAACAAACGGTAGTGGAGTAAAAAGATTTCTTTTTTACAGAACATCGCAGCCTGACGAAGCGAAAAAAATTGAATTTACTTTTGAGGTAACGAATCTCGAAAGACTTTGCTTGATGCTTCTATTATAAAATGTAAACATCGTCATTCACTTACATCGACGAAATAAACTAGAGATGACTGCTAAAACAGTAGGTGTCTTGGCTTTATTAAATTTTTAGTAGTCACAAATAAACTATTGATATTGATTGTTTGCGAATCGATATATTTCTTTTGAGTGCATGTTCATACATGTGAGACATTGAATGTAGACAATTTTTACATAGCATCTTCAAAACGCATATCTTTTTTCGCAGATATTTAACCTCTTATACAATAATTTAAGCTTATATAATGCCAAAGTTCAAGGATTAGGGTACTTGATCGTTGTTACCAGACAAAGATGATTTGTTTAGTGTCTGATAAGACAAAGGAAATCTCACTTGAAATGTGTATCATGATATTTATAATCGCTCCTAAAATACTACTACTCATATATCTTGCTCTCACTTTTGTCCTATGCTCAGTCCTATTGATTATTGGTCTGACACATGCTGACTTGAACCTACCAACTTCTTGCTTAAAAAATCTGCGTTTAAAATGATGGTGAAAATTAGAAACTCTCTATTAATAAAACCACTGCGCTTACGGAACTTAGCGTATCAGTAGTTCATATTGTTTGAGATCAATGTAATGATTAAACGCAAAACTAGAATTTACCTGTGAGGGCTCCAAGTTAATTTTTCTGGTGATTACTACTATCTAGTTCAACGTTGAGACTACCTGATTTGAATAATGCTTACTGATTTTCATCCTTTGATGTTTATTCATACAAAAACCTGTAATAAATTAAATGACTATCGGTTAATTCCTTTCTATCTGCATGATCAATTTTGATAGAATCAATATCGTCTAAGAATTTATTTTCTGTTAGGCTAAGAAGAATCAAACAAGTGAAAGTGATTGGCTAAAAAAGGACAGCAATCATTTCGAACTGAAATCTCCTCATGATAGACTTCGTTTGCTCGGAAAGTTTTGGCCTGTTAATGAACCTCGTGCAGTGATACTCTTCGTACATGGCTCAGGTGAACACAGTGGACGATACAAACATGTGGCAGAATTTTTCAACGAACATAAAGTCGCATGCGTAACATATGATTTACGTGGCCACGGTGTTTCTGGCGGTGAACGAGGTTTTACACCTAGCAGCGATGCTCTATTTATTGATCTCGAATGTGTCGTCAATTTTGTGCGCAGTAACTTTTCTCATACCAAGCCATTAGTGCTTTATGCACATGGAACAGGATGTTCTATTTGTATTGCACATATTCTTAAACGATCTGATCGGTTACTTGACTATCAATATCTTATTTTGAGCACGCCATCCATATGTTTGAAAATGCGTCCAACACGGACGCTTTTTTTCATAGCACGTGCTTTTTCTAATTTGAGTCCTCATTTGCGTTTGCCAATCGAGGGAAATATGCATAATGTATATACCAACGATGAAGCCATGGTGACAGCTTATAGGACAGACCCATTAGTTCACGACCGCTGGCCCGCACGAAGTTTATGCGTATTTCTTGAACTCGGTCACCTATTAGAAACAACACCTGTTCAATTTTCTGTTCCAGTATTGGTACAACATGGCAAGGATGATACTGTCACACCATTCGAAACAATTAAAAAATGGAAAGAAGAACGGGTTAAGGGAGATGATGTCGAGTTAAAAATATGGCCTGACCATATGCATGAATTGCACAATGATGTGGGCAGAATAAACGTTTTGAATTACGCTTTGGAGTGGATTTTAAAGCATTTAGATTCAAATCAAAATCAACAACAAGAACACTGAAGAATTTTCTTTCGTAGACATGAACAGTATGAAAATGACTAGTAAGAAAATCATGCCAGAAAAATAAATTTTTTGACGTCCTATTGTAAATTCTTTTTAATACAATCCTGCCATATCATTTTATTTCAATATGATCTAGCCGATTGAAAATGAGCTGCAGTCATTCGCGTTAGTGTTCATTGCTTGTAATGTTATGATTGAATTCGAGTACGATAAAACGACATCCATAACTAATCAGTTGATCTATTTACTTTTCACTATTATATCTCATTAAGAATATATAGTCATATGAATGTCTTCGATATGAATTCGCATAGCTTCGGCATCGCCTCAACTAGTAAGACATTTTTCTGGTGATTGCAGTTATTTTTCAGAATAGAATCAATCAAGTAAAATAAACGGATCTGTCTGATATCTTATTTCTACAATAACGAGGTTCTAAAATCAGAACAAAACAAATGAAAACTTGCTATGTGTATTTTCTTTACACGTATATATGAGAGTCATTAAACACACTAATTTATTCATAGGCATAAACTATGGCATACGCTCATATGAATCCATAGTTTGAAAAGAAACTCTAAAAAACATAGATCAGATCACAGGTATTCAATTATCGTGCAAGTTATGAAGATGAAAGAATTTCACCATAAACATTGAAGCTCTTTTCAAATGGATCAAACGATTGACTATTGTTTTGCATACTATGGATGACTCACGCGAAACAATCAAAACACATACGCAGTTGGAACTCAAAATGAAGCGCGTAATAACACGAGAAACGGAGACTTATTCAAGAGTAACCTAAATTTTTCTTGTTTCAAAGTGAATTCTACAAAATATAGCAATAAAGACACAATCAAATTAATTTACAATGGAATATTTATCGCATATAGTAAAGCTGTAGAAGTTTTTGTTCTTACAGAAAGTTAAAAATACTGATTTCTCTAGTGTAAATCAATAATTTGTGGACAGGTAAGACGAAAAGTAACACTAAACTACTTATCTTAACCATATCTCTAAAGGTCATAATACCTTACACTCCCTCTCGTTGCGATATTAATATTACTACTTGACTAGACTGTTTTTATTTTCATAAAAGTTCTCGAACTTTTTCGTTTTTTCTCTTCTACTTCCTTGCATGATGTATCGTGTTTCATTGTATTCTTTCTTTTCTTTACTGTTCTTTCAACTTTTAGGCATGACGTTTGCAGCGTTTGTGATAAAAATTGAAATTCTGTTGCTTTCGCGACACGTAAGTTTTTCAGTATCATTCGAAGCAGTATGAAAAGGTACGCATTTGCTTTATACATCGAGCGTATGGCGATGACACGCACTAGATTTTTGTATTTTTGTTTCGATTGCATTTATTGATTGCGTGAAACCTCTTATATAGGATATGTTTTTTTTGGGTGAAAATCACAAGCCAATGCATAGTTGGACTTTTCCAATGTTACTTCATTCCTTTAGATTTCCAACGAACACAAGTAAAGGAAGCTCATGCACGATGAAAAGCTCTAGACATCTAGTCATCAACAAGTTTGATTAAGTTATTTCAATTGAAAATCATTTAGTTGCGTTTGAAAACGATGATATACTCATCGAGATCATTGGTTGTGTTTTTATTTACACTGCAATGTATTTGACTTAGATAATAGAATAGATATGCAAGTTTTTTTTTGCGAAATCTATCTGAACTCGACTTTTCTGATTATTGCAACTTTCACCGAGTAGAATAAGTACGCACTACTTAGATGAGACATCTGCTGTTTTATTAATTATGACAAGAACAAAACAATCGCCAGAGCGCAGTAGAAGTGAAAGACCTTTTATCTGAACGAAAATAGTATACTTTATAGATACACTCAAGTACCTTGTATTCACTATGTATAAACGCTCAGATGCAGTTAAGTTTTTCTTCCAGACATCTGTGAAATCGATCTAAAATGCTTTTTATCCTTGAAATATATGTTCAAGATGATGATATCACAAATCGGAAATCGCATTCAAACAGTTTCTCAAGTTCTTTTTAGATACATTGTGCTCATTGAAGCATAGACAGTTACAACGCAAGAAAATGGCCAGTACACACAGTTCATCAATTCTTGGTAAGCTTTACGAGAAGAATTTTATGTGCTTCATTCGAATTTCTATATCTCTACAGATCTTTCATTTGCCATGGATTGCACAGGTTCAATGGGCGCATATATAAAAAGTGCTACTGATAACATTCGTTCCATTGTCGACGAAATCGTATCGAAAGAAATGACTAATATTCGATTAGCACTAGTAGAGTACAGAGATCATCCTCCACAAGTTAGTAGTACGCTAAATTGCAACAAAATAAAATTGTAGCGATATCTTATTTTTTAAGGATACTACATTCGTCACTCGTGTGCATAACTTCACCGACAAAGTTCAAGAAATGAAAGCATGGTTAGAACAGTGCAGTGCTCAAGGTGGTGGTGATACACCTGAAGCAGTGGCAGATGCACTTCATGATATTTTGAAACTTTCATGGCGCTCTGAGGCAACCAAAATTTGTGTTCTCATATCCGATGCACCTCCTCACGGTCTCAAACAATGCGATGACAGTTTTCCTGATGGATGTCCACTTGGTCATGATCCACTAAAAATAGCTCGAGAGATGGCTGAGAAAAATATTACACTGTATGTAGTAGGCGTCGAGCCACCAATTTGTAAGTTTTTGCGTCAAACTTCGAGTACAGTGTTTATCTTTGTAGTAGTTTCATTTGCATAGCATTACAGAAATTTTCTAAAGTGCAGGATTTATTAAAATTTCGGATAACTCTTCGAATATTTTTTTCGTTATATGAGTTTTGCTTCAATAAGCATTCTCATAGAGGAATCATACTAATTATAAGATATTTTTGAATATATAAGAATCGATTGATGATACATAGTAAATAAAAGTTATAAATGTCGAGAATTATTATTTATACAACTGTACCTGCTCCCGTTGTACGTACAGAAGCTCCAGTATTTATGCAGCATATTAGTTAGGAACGAGATACGTTACCTTGCAAAGATAATTCCATTGGAGCAATAGCTTCAGCATGTATAGTGGTTAAAATTGTGTTACACAGTACTTCATTCAGATGACCTCTTCGAACACTGATAGTGTTCCAATTAAGTATCTTACTGAAAAACTGGAGATAGCGATTCTATAGTAGACACAACATGCCCAAGCAGACTTCATCTGTACACTGCTAATTTAAGAAGTTTCGGTGACTGCATATTGGATTGCATTGAATGATTCTTAAAATTTACCATAAAACAGGAACTATTCAATGGTCTGAAATGTTTTGGTTTGTATCAAATCGAGTATATAGACAATTTTTTCTGTCCATCTGTAGACTAGTTCCACAACTAGTTTTTAGTTCACAGACATTATTTTTGAGTTGAAAAAAATTCACGTTCTAGCTTCTATGTGCTTTGTTTTAGCTCTTCAGCATTACTCGATACATATTTTTTATGTAGTCTAGGAAAGACGGCTGATATTTCCATTGATCTAACAATAATGATGAATAACATGTACTTTAATACATAGTATTGCATCTTTCTGGGAGTCGATTATTTATTTGTTCAACAGAAAGCTTTGTAAAAGCATTAAGCAGAAAGCAAAAAAATCTCATCAAATTAGCCTAGCTCTTTAAGTTAGAATATAGTTTATCTCTGAATAAGTAGAAATTCAATTTTTTTCTTTGCTTACTGACATATTCAAAAATACATCATTTATTTATACAATGGTAGTGCCTTATCGTGAATTCTTTATGGCACTTGCACACATCACTGGCGGACAGTATGTTCCTATGATGAATGCTAATCTATTGGCTCAAATGATCATCGCTGGAGTACGTGAAGAAATATCACTAGATCGTGTTATGAATAGTTCTCGGAAAGACATCATTAAAGTTATACAAAAAGCAACGTCGGATGGAGTCGACGATCAGGAAACGGCCAAACGACTTCAAAATGTCTTTATTTCGAAGAAAATACAAGTTAATCGAATGAAAAACGAAGCTGGAGTACCATCTAAGGAAGCTGAAGAATGTTATGCAAAATGCGCTGATATGGCTGATATGCAGAGTAAATATAAAAAGACAGAACCAACCTCAACTACACATGTAGCTTCAATGGACTATGGGCTGCAAGAAGAAGAGAATGTAACTGTTGAACAGGCAAAACGTATTCTACAAAAGGCTAAAAATTGGGAAATTCCATCTAGTAAAGAAGGACACCAAACTGAAAGGAAATCTTTTACAACTTCCCATCGCTCAAGAAAGAGTGAAGACACACAGAGAGATCATAGTACACCATGCAAATATGGCTCTAGTTGTTACGATCATACTGATTATCATCGAGCAAAATACTATCATCCCGAAGGCAATAAACGACAAGGGATGCGAACCAATCAGCAAACATCATGCAAATATGGCTCTAGTTGTTACGATCATACTGATTATCATCGAGCAAAATACTATCATCCTGAAAGTGATACGAAACAAAAAACACAAAATATTCAACATACACCATGTAAATATGGTTCCGGCTGTCGTGATCGCAGTGAATATCACCGAGACAAATATTACCATGCTTGAAATAATAAAGGATAACAAAAATAAAAATTTATTAACATAAACTATAGAAACAGGATTTGCACTATCATAATCTTGATGTGATTATAACCCACCATTATAGTATCATCTATGGCAGCATCAAAATTAATCACTAGATAAAAACAGGAAAAACATTTTCTTTGATAATAAAAATGCTTTCGTTTCAAATTAATAATCGATAATTATGAAGTAGAAAAGAATTAAAAATGTGATTCGACTCGGATATATATATATATATGACTCAAAGAGCGAATTATCTATTGAAAGTAAAGAAGAAAAACGAAAGGACTACTGAATATTCTCTTGAGGGTGTGAGTGTGGTAAAGAAGAATCCCACACCCACACCCTTATATTGAATTTCAATAGTAAATATGAAATTATATGTATTTTCTAGCTGTTGATAATCTTACATACAGTCTATACTATGGCAAAGTTAGTAAAGAAACAGCAACTAAGAATATTTTATAATTGGTTCTTTGCATCAGAAATGTGAATAACTTATAGGATCAAGTAATTAGTAATGCATTATACGCAAGCATATTTCAAACGACTGTTCCCGATCAAGAAAAACACGTGTTTCGTTAGAGCAAAACCAATTTCTGAATACAGAAATCTTTAATATTGATATACATAAATTCCGAAAGGAACTGGCGCCACTAGAGTCAGTTCAACGAGAATGAGTTTTACATCCTTCACATTCTTTGTTCACTGAAGAAACTGAAAATTAAACTTAATATTTGATGATTTGCCCTATACATATATACAATTCAAATAATTTTCCGCGGATAGTATAATAATCTTGAGGAAAACTCTTTCTTTTATCGCTGATATTAGATTCAAGGATAGTTAAATTTTTGTTGTTTGCTACCTTAGTACTCTTTCGAAACACTTCGTTTTCTAGCACCTGATGTCGTGGTGGTGACACTTATAATTTTGATCACATCTCTTCAACAAAATTTAAATGATATGAAACTTGCAGCTACTCCGTCTGTAATTGCTACTGGTACTAAATACCACCAGAGATTTTTAATTGACATTACATTTAATAGAAAACACTGTATTTTGAGATGAGTGACAAATATGTCGGTGAAGTTAATGGAAAAAAAAACAAGTGGTAAGAAAGATGGATTAGATAATGTGTAGGTATCTTCAGATAATGATGTATATATCATTGAACCTAATATTGAGATTTGCATATTTTTTCTTCTTCTATGTTTATGCTTACGTATAATTCTCCAAAACCTTCATCACAAAGTGAGTCGGATGCATGCTTTTGCATTATTATACAAAAACAAAGACATCGTCTGGATGTTCGAAGAATCATATATACTAGGATACTCATGCCAGATAGTGCAAGAGAACTTTTTGAGACGCTGAAAGAAAAAATGAACATCTGAGTAACTTATTTAGACACTAAATGTCTCAATCGACTACCGACACGTCTCCTAGCTCAACTGTCAGACGTATCGTTTTTATTTTACAAATTAAAAACACATATAATCCATTTGACAAATCTATTACAGATGCTTCGTTCCTATTGAACACTTCAAAATTGTGTACCACATTGTTCAGAAAATTATTATTTCCTAGACATATTTAAAAACAAACAGTTATGTCAGGATCAAATCCTGTATTTATATGTTAGGTTTTTCATGGAGAATCTAAATTTCTCTTGCCTAAACATTCATAAACATCGGTACTAACACATGCGATTGTGATTGACGAATAAAGAATCTATAATTGTTTGATAAAGTTTGAAAAAGGACCAGATAGAACAAAATACTCTATTCTAGCCACAAATCGCGCCTGATTTAAAAAATCCTTCTTAGATTCAGTGAAATATTTCTGCAGTAGTAATGACTCACACTTCAAAAACTCAAATTGCGAGCTTCATCTTCACCAATTTAATCTTTAAACGTCGTTAAAATTCATTGTAAAAAAAGTATGCATGCAAATCACATCATTTCTTTCGATTGTTCTAAGTATAATTAAGAGTTACAATTCCTTTTCATTTCAATCAGGAAAAAAAAATTTTGACGAGTGTCGATTTGATCAACGATCGTGGTCTTGTGGGACCAAATGTAATGCTTCAGGCTCATAACATCAGAGTTGTGGTTGACCGTCGATCGCGGCTCGTCTCTTTCCTTTTGATAAATATCCTATTTCAACTGGCAAATCATAGAGATTGTGCAATTAGCTTCATTTCGTCTGTATATGACGACATTCAGTGATGGTGTTGTGCAATAACACATATCCAACTTTGAAAATTGCTTGAATCTGATTGCAGCCAGATTTCATGTCAAAATTCATTTAAATCGATTATTAAGAACGGTGAAATCCATGGGACTAAAAGGCGATCTTGCGAATGCTTGCATACTTCATCGAATTTTATTATTTGTGCACGTAAGTTTTGTGAAATTCGTTGTTGTCGACCATAACTGTTTGACCATCAAGAACATGGATAGCTACAATAAGTTATGATTGAATCATGGACTATAACAATTTATATCGAATTGCTTATTACAAGTTTTAGAAGATTTGCTGAATGATAGTCATTCCGGATATGGAAAAGTAGATATATCTTAGTAGTTCGATGGCAAACGCCTTCAAAACGTTCGCTAGCATAAACTTCTTACCGATAAACATATGTTCACAATTAAGTCTATTTTTGGAAGCAATGTTGTCACTGATCGTTTAAAAATATTTTGTCAACGAATGAATAATTGTATTTGGCCTACTCTAATCAATATCGGGAAGCTCAATGGCTGTTATTCTGTTAAACTAAGTATTAGAGTTGCCTCTTCTTGTTACGGCATAGCAGACAAACAATTTCCAATCATTCATCTTATTTTTCGATACCAACAATACTTTTACGAATAACGTATACACTTTTTATTTAAGAAGCATGGAACTGTATAGATGAGGAACAGTGTGATCGAGAAAATTAGAGAGCTTTCGATAGAATTCCCTATTCGACGTCTTATCAAGTTCTACTAAGTATAGTTTTTTTTTCTAGTTTATCTTTCTTTATATCTGTTAATAAATATGAACATCAACCTTTGTATGCTTCCTCCATACAGTATCATTTAATTTTTCAATGAAAGCGTGCAATGAAGAGTTGGAGATTTCGAAAGTTTGCAAGTATTTTATTAGTTGTGTATCGTTTTATTATGACTAATATAGATCTAATTTTGATTGGCGAATTTATTTATTAAGCTGCAAAAATATGATAGAAGTAACAATGGCGCCATATATTTTGTTTCTTCTTTCGATTGCTCACTAGTCATCCAGCGTCGAAAAAAAAATATATATTTTTACTTTCGTTTTTCTCTATTGCGTCACTGTATCTTGAAGAATAGGAACCTACCAATAACTCTAGCGTGTAGGTCTCGATTGTATATGATGAAACGTATGAAATAGAATGTCGGATTTTTCTTCTTCGGCGTCCCGAAAAACTCAATAGCAAATGATTCACTGCAGAGTGTCATTGAAAAAAGAGGAAAGCTAGTCGAAATATTTAGTAACGCATGAGTAATTGTAGAAAGAACGAAGTCCGTCATTATTTTTTTCTGACAATCTATGCTTTGTTACTATGGTCGTTAGTAGTCACGAATACTACTATGTGATCGGTTTTATTGGTTACTGTTTTTTTCCATCTGATATTCAATGCAGTATGCGACTTCTTCGTTCAGGTTGTCATTTGGAAATCGCTATCATTTTATCGTCTCTTAATTAGACTTGGTTGATATTATATAGTCGATTTTTGCTTGTTTGTGAATAATAGAGTAAAAGGTTATTATTGAGGGTGGTGCAATAGTCAACATCAAGGTGGCCAGATCTTCTGAAAAATAGGAAACATTTCTGAATTTTCAACATGTGTCTGATTTTCTCTGAATTTGGAATAAATTCAGATCGCTGCTTTGCCACTGAAATTAGGTACGATTATAACCCATTACTATAACAAATCAATAGTGCCTCATCGATTTTCTCCATTAACCATCTTTTATATTTCTCGTTCGAATTCTGGTGTCGAATTGATTTTCGGTCATATGAAGCATTTGTAGTCCGATTATAGAAAACCAGATAATGCTTAACTTAAAATAAAAATGAATGGTAACTATTCTTGAGAAGGTTTTATTAGCATATGTTATCTCAAACGAACTTTCTAGGGAAAATTCCAAAAGATGCAAAATATGAATAACAATATCGAGATGATGGGATTTAACTTTTTTTCCGTTGGATTTCTTACTCTACGCAGAATGTATGTAAACGAGTTTTAAATTTAAAAAGGAGCTCAGTATTAAGTGTTTTCTATCGATGTTTTCGTATTAGCTAAACGATATATTTACTATGTCGTCTTTCTTTTTATTGAAATGCCTTTGAAAATAAAGTTTCAGCCAATGAACAGAAAGGTAGTAGAATTTTGGATGCCAGTATTTTGGCGGAAGATGTACTAATTTGCCAAAAACTGCCATTTTCTGATTAATTTCTGATTTTTCAATTTTTGATCTGGTCACCCTGGTCTACATAGAAAATACTTGAGAAATACCGTCGAGTTTCAAAAATAACGCTTTCATGTTTATCTTTTTTTCTCGTGCACTTATATTAAAAATTAAAGAAGTATACACTTTTCCAAGTTGGTGTTGGGATTTTATGTCTGAAGAGTTTGATTGCTATTAGATCGGTTCCTACTGTGCTCAACGAGCTGTATAGCTTTTTATCGTCTTTGATGAATAAACTGATCTCTTATAGCCGAGGTGTTTGTTGATTATTTGGGTTCAGCGCTTTACTATGATGATTTGCTTTTAGTTAAACTCTAAATATAAGCAGCGTGGCGCAGTGGAAGCGTGCTGGGCTCATAACTCAGAGGGCGGTAGATCGAAACTACTCGCTGCTATCGTCTCTTTTTTTTCATTTTTCTCTTCTATGGATGCTTCTAAAATCTGATGCAATATGATGCAATAAAAAAATAGAATAAGCACAAAATTTCATCATAACTAGCTTTTTGGTTAGTGTTGTGCAATACAATTGATTTACTATGCAGTTCGTACATATTAATTGCACCAGTGGCATAACAATGCATTCTCTACCGTTCTAACTAGTTTCACTTCGTCTTCTGCAATGCATTTACCCCTCAATAGACAGACTATTTTGATAATGGATTTAATTTTTCTATGATTTAGCTTATTGAAAATAATTATTCAATTAATTCACACAAATATATTCGTCAAAACATATCTGAGAAAAACGAAGCGTTAGTTTTTAGTAGAATTATATATACGTATATGGCATTCTTTGGCCGTGATTTCAATCAAAACAAAATAGATACTCACGAAATTACTACTGGTTAGACAATGATGGTGTTGATTCTAGTTGAGAATGAAAAGAAGAAGCACTATCATCTGGCATCTCATATCTCTCACTCATCAATTTATGTTTAGTCTCGTCGTTTGAAATCGGCTGATGTAAAATTAATCATCTGTCTCTTTCCATTTTTGGTAATTAAAACACTCAACCATATGGTGACATGTTCGCAGTATTTTTTTGTTATTAGTCAAACTTAGCCAAACCATTCTCGAAGTAATGTGATTCATTTCAATCTAATCAGTGTAGAAAAGTGCAGATGTTAGTGCACAAGTGAATCATAAACCTATTCTTACGATAGAAAAATGAATGCATATAATTATTCATGTCTATAATTTATTACGTTATAGGATAGAAAAAAAGCACATATGTTTCAATAGAAAGAGCACCTGCAGTATTTAGCTGACAGAAGCAAGAAATCAATATATTCAAAATAAGAGTGTTTTAAATAAATGACATCCATTGGAGATAGCGGCGAACAAACTGCTAGTCAAGCAACAAATAGACCAACATTGACTACAAGCATGGGTATTATTGAACGCTGGCGTATCTGTAATAGCGACAATTTACGCGACGAACTCTTCTGCCCAATATGTTCGTGTTTATTATGGCAACCGCGCTCTTGTAGATTGTGTCAAAATTTGTTTTGCATGTACTGCATTTTGAAATGGCTAAAGACGAATAAGAAATGCCCATATGGATGTCAAGAATACAAGGATAGGAGTTGTTCACCGCAGATGCGGTGTCTTCTGTCCAACATCCAGATTCAGTGTCAAAGTGTTCACTACGGTTGTAATGCAGTGCTTTCATATAACTCCTTAGAGACACATCAAGCTAAAGAATGTGCTTATGCTTCCATTCGATGCCAATACTGTGAGACTCTTATGCTAATCGGTGCGATTGAAGTTCACGAGCAAGAATGTGGACAAAAACTTGGCAGTTGTTCCATATGTAACCAATGTATTCCGTTGCGCGTATTGCAGCAGCATCAATCGTCTTGTCCCTCGGTGAACCCCCAGCATCATTTTCAAAACATCAACCAAGTTGGCAATTTAGCGCAGCATGTTCAAACACTTCAACCTGAAACTCTAATACAGAATATTCTACTTCAATTGGGTGGCATTGCCAATCTTACACCAGAAGAGCAAGATATACAGCATAAGTATTATAATTTAGGTTGGTGGCGTCGTTGCTTGTCTTTAGTACATATTTTTCTCGAGAATCCGGGTAACGCGCTGAACATTCTTTGTGTTGTGTGGGAGACGGGTTTTTTTTGTACGTTAGGTAGTCTGATAGCATGTGTTATTATAGTCAGTGCTTATTTCTCTCAGAAAATATACAGAGGTTTTCTTTTCATTATTGTTTTTGTCGGACTCTTACATTCCTGTGGACCGTGGATTCTTAATTTGATGGATGACATCTCCATATCGTTACTGCTCAACATTCTCTTTCTAATGGTTCTTTCTTTATTTATATGAATGCTCATCGTTTGAAAAACAATATTGATTTTAAAGTTTTCATAATGGCGTACAGTAAAGCTGTATGTCAGTTGAGATTTGTTTTGTTCCTTGTTCGTTTGTATTTTACCTGGGTTCCTGCCTATGTAACAGCAACCTTTGTTTCTGGTGTTGGCATTTCTATCGCTTCAATATTAAGATAACTTTTTTTTAAACTCAACTAACAACTTAGCCATGATCATGGACAATGTGTAAAACGTTTCCTGTGTAATTTTGATTTTCGCGTTAACATTGATGGTTATTTGATAAAAATAAAAATCAAGATCAACTACATTGATATCGGAACAACGGTCGGCATGTAATAAACAGTTAGTCAGTAGATCTTAGTTTTAGTTTGCTAAGATCATATTAAAATAATATGAGAGATACCTAAATCTGAGTTAAAGTTTTGACATATAATTTAGACACAATAAGATTTAGTTTAAAAAATCAATGAAAATATCTATTTTATGTTTCATTCTCACCTTCTTCTCAACATGAAAGGCACGTTAAACTTGAATATTTCATCTTAGCAATAAAATTCAAAGTAATTCTTTGAAAATGAAGTAAAAAAAGCAGTGCCATCTCGACGAGAACTCATACTTACTGCGAAAAACAATAGTGGAAATAGAATTTATTTTTCGAAAATAAGACGAGTCTTGATTGACTGTTTCATATCTCTAATATTATCTTCATAATGAATTATATTCAATGACTATCATACACAATTTTTACTGTAGCTCAATCTATCGTGCTTTAAAATAACTTTCTCTTGTTTCATTTACTTTTTATATGATTTCTAACATTTGTTTTCAGTGTAATCTACCGGAAAAAGTAAAAGAACATAAACGAAAGCATTTTTTAACGATAAACGTAAATGAACTTCTACAAGATTTCACCATGCCTATATGATTAATACACAATCTGACGGGCACGCACTAATGTTCTAGATTTCACTATCAACAGAAGTAAACAAGACTGAGCATTTGACAGCAATGCTCACTGCTGTTCAGATAGAAAAAAATATGAAATTCACGGTCGGAAAAATATCACGTTCATTCAAATCAAATTAGTTGTTTCCGAGAAGCGTAGCTAAAAAAGTATGCAGCTCTCGAGTTTCGCTATTGAAGGGAAAATAAAAAGGCAAAACTCGCTTTTGCAATCGTCGACTGTAGAAATCGTACACGAATCTGAGCGATTGAATATTATTTACTGATTGTGAATGAAAGAGGAATTGCTCTTACATGACCATTGTCTTTCAAATATTCTAGTCTTTAAGTTTTATTTTAATCAACCAACTGAAATTTGATATTTGAATGCTTGACAAACATTAAAATGATCGTTTTATTATATCAAAAATTGTAGACTATTTTAAAGAAATCGTATTTAGTTGTTTGAAATTACATCGAATCTTGAAGTAAAGAAATAGATCAAATATACAATTCTTTTCTTTTCTCGAATATTTCATTAAAATTTGAAAAGTATTCGACTTCTGTGGTCCTAAAAGATGAACTAGCCTCGATCAGAATAAATACACTGTGTAAGCCAATAAATATTCAAGTTGATGTTAAGAAATATTTTATAGCGAAGACTGAATTCATTTGAAGATTTAAACTGTAACTCCAGCTAATAAATTTCAAAAGAGTAGTATGCATTTCAGTGGCTTCAATGTTTATTTCAAATCAAGTTACTAAATGATAGACAAATGATATTTATTTGCTTCTACATATTTCTATATGATTCGCCTTAATGGGCCTCTAAAAAAGTGAATTATCTAAATATTATTTCTACACTGAAGTTTTGAAAAGATCCATTATATTATGCAACACATTTCTACGCGTTGACGTAGAGAAAACTGAGTTTAAAGAGAGCGAGAGATAGAATAAATAAACTATGATGCTTTTTCTGCATAATTTTCAATTCGTCTTTGCATAGAAAAATCATGAAAAATAATTTTAATAAACAAAATATTCATTAGAAATAAAAAAACGAATCTAACGGTGGAATGATAACACACATATCTTATACTTGAGATACTTTGCCTTAGCTTCCACGTGAAAGCCTTGATTGTAGATAGTCATAGTAACAACAAATGCCAGCATTTAGCTTTTCTAAACCAGGTTTTTGTATAATTTTTGATTCACGTTATTAGGAGATGAGAGGAGCAAGGCAAAATAGTAGTCATTTTATCGAATTACTGCAGCCAACCATAAGAAATGCAATGTTTTTATAGTAACAGAATGACATGATTTGTCTGCATTCATACAAAACAGAGTATATTCAAAACACGTATACGCAACAGACTACAGTTTTTTCTAGTCCACTCATTAAACTATGTATCGATTCTCATGGTATAGGCAGAAAATTATTCTCTTCGCTTATTTCTCACTCTTCTCTTTTACTATTTATTCAAACAATATAATCATGTTTGTTTCAGAATTTACACTCTCAGACTATTTATCGATAGTTAAAAGGATATCCTATTTAGCATCGCAAGTATGACTAATATGAGACAATTGATTAATTAAGATATGTATATTTATTCATTTATTTTTTATATTTAGAGAAAAACGAACGTGTCTTCGAGTACTACAGATTATACCGCAGTTATTCCGATCTCAATTGTTTTGGCATTAATCAGTATCACTCTTGCTTGTTTGATTATTGTTGTGGCTTTATTGACGAAACATTTACACACTGCTACCTACTTATTAATTTATAATACATGTTTCTCATCGACATTGTATTGCATAGTGCAACGTAATAATTACATTTTTCTTGATTTTATCGTTTGGGATACCAGTGATGCATCATGTCGATGGCGTGGCTATTTCGCCCATATTTCGATTGTTGCCGTTACTTATTCCTATTTGATTCAAGCCATATCACGTTATTTCTTTGTTGTATTTTCTATGACATTTCGATGGATAACTTCTTTGAAGACACATCTGACTCTTATTGCTGCTCAATGGATCGTTGTAATAGTTTTACCATTACCGAGCATTGTTACTAATGATATTTATTATGCTCCGAATTCACTTTGTTGGGTCCGACAAATGTTCTTCATTCACTTTGCTTACACATTTCTAGTCTATTTCTTTACACGACCGAGAGAAACTTCCAGGCGACAAAAACGCGATGCAAATATTTTCCGTAATACATATATTATAATTTTATTTAGTATCTATATATTCGGTGGATTGCCGACACTTATCTACTTAATTTTTGGCAACAATATATTATACTTTATAGGTCTCATTTGGGTTCCGCTAGCAGTTGCTGTAGAAAAAGCAGCGACCATATTTTTCGATCGAGAGCTACGAAAAATAATTAAATGTGTTATTGGTTGCTCGAAAACACGAGTGAAACCATTGGATTATCACACTACTATCGGTACAGTTACACAATGAACTCGATGAGTCGGTATGTTAAGACAATAGCTTTGCTGTTCATTTTTTGCTTCTGTTGTTGGGTGAAATTCAAACTGCATGCATCAATCAAATTTCATTCGCAAAAGTATTACATCGTGTCCGAGGAAATAAAACGCATATAATCATCCTATCAGCACATTATTTCTACAGTTGGGCGATCGTCAGCAATGGTATTATAGAATTAAACATATTAAGTATCAATAAAGTGAGAATCGTTTGCAACAATAAATAAATGTGGACACTTCGGATTTCATCCGAGAGTTATGTGTACTGCAAAAAGTGCATGAGACATTTGAGTCATTCTAGAATGTCTGAACACCATAATTATCATGAGAAACTAAGCAATTTGATTTCTGGATGCAGTTTTTGTGCATTTTGAGACGTTTTTCAGGCGATGTTTCGTTAGAAAGCTATGATTTCGTTCGAAATTAATATCAGATTTGGAATCAGCGTGTGGGTGTGGGTTTGTCTTTCATTCATCAATACACCCACACCCCATCCTTCTCATCTTCGAATTCGACCGAGATATTCATGATATTGAACTGTGTGGAAAATTTCATTACGATCTGACTCTCCTTTCGAAAGTTATCGTGCCTACGGACGGCCGAACACACTGACCGATTCTAGAGTGTACTCACTTTTTTGAGTACACAACAGTTCGTC